ATGTTGATGTAAATAGTTTGTATACCAATGTTAAAAATGTTCTGACTTCTAAACATTTGCAGCAGAAATGTGCTCTGATTTGAGTATGTAAAAAAAATTTGAAACTAAATTAGTGTATCATTATAGTCTTTTTTTGTAGTCATGTTGACATAATGTATGGTATATGTCTACATGTTGATGTAATTAGTTGTATACCAATGTTAAAAACGTTATGACTTCTAAACATTTGCAGCAGACCACATGCTCTGATTTGAGTATGTTAAAAAAATTTGTAACTAAATTAGTGTATTGTTATAGTCATTTTATGTCGTCATGTTGATATAATGTATGGTATATATCTGCATGTTGATGTCATTAGTTGTATTGTTATAGTCATTTTCTGTAGTCATGTTGACATAATGTATGGTATATGTCTACATGTTGATGTAATTAGTTGTATACCAATGTTAAAAATGTTATGACTTCTAAACATTTGCAGCAGAACACATGCTCTGATTTGAGTATGTTAAAGAAATTTGTAACTAAATTAGTGTATTGTTATAGTCATTTTATGTAGTCATGTTGATATAATGTATGGTATATGTCTGCATGTTGATGTCATTAGTTGTATTGTTATAGTCATTTTCTGTAGTCATATTGGTATAATGTCTGCATGTGTGATCGTAGATCCAGATTAGATCAATTTTGTTGTTTCAGATGAGATTTACTTTTGTACACATATTTTTGGGGGCAGCAGTCATTTTTGGGGTATGCGTTGATGTATTAATTGCCAACAATAGATGTTGTGGTCTATTCATATGGAGTCATGTTGTAGCCCTGTGTTTAAAGACCTTCCATTGACATAGATGAATAATGCTAACTAAGTTGGTAAATTGTTAATTACATAGTCACATTACCATCATAAACTATATGTGACTAGGCCAGAATATGTAGTTATACAGCCACATTACCACCTTCCATGCTATGAATTTTTAACTTTTGCATTGGGAATGTGATATGGTTTGAGCATATAATGAAAACCTGTAATTGAATTGGTGTATTGATGTAGTAACCTTCTGTAGTCATATTGGTAGAATGACTTATTTATGGTTGCATATGTGTGTAACATACAGAAAATTGATTTTTTTCAGATGAAACTCGAAACATGGCACGTCAAGTGCTTGACCATGGTACGTGGACCTCACAATTCAGAGGGAGCTTGAAGTCAGTTGTTTCATTCTTTGAGGATGTAACACTTGCACCAGCACATTACGAATGCTTACGGCATATTAACTGTAGTCATATTTTTTCTTTATATTGCGTTTTTTTTATATTTTGAACTTAAAAATTCCGATTATATGGCATAGTCATATTTACCAAATCATATAAAACAACGAAGATTCCCTATTGTTTACGAAAATAATTCAATCAATATCCACACAAAAAAATCAATTTGAATTTACTTACTAGAAGCCAACTTGAAAACGAGAATATAGATTATATTCAACAACAGTCATATTCGAATATGACTACAGTCATATTCGAAAAATACATAAATATGGCTATAGTCATATTCGAAGTCAAACTGCACCACTTATCAGTGACAAAGCCAACGAGGTCTTCATACACAAAATCAACCTGACATATCTTCACCCCAAACGAGCCTCCATACTTCAACACAATCATCAAGGTTGACGACATGATGTGCAGCACTACAAAAAAAAAACGAGATTGTGACTACTACGTGACTACTTCTGATGAATAAATCTGCACTACTCTGTAAATGCAAATCACATAATATTATGTGAATTCAATTCAACCACAACAAACACATTGAAACATATCAAGTAACGCAAAAAAACAAATTACAATAAAATTACACTATCGTATCAATTAACGCAAAACGAACAAAAGATTTACAGAGTAGTCACAACGTGACTCTGCGTTAATCGGTATAAAATTTCAATCAGTAACGATCATTGACACCAATTAAGACGACCCAAAAAAAAAACAATGAAAATTCGGTTCTAAATATACATACACACATATCTGAATACACACACTACAACCCAGCCCCAATTACGAAACCAACAAAATTAAAGCAGAACCTCTGACCTTCAAACACAGTTTAACTAATCGAGTGAATCAACAATAGTCACATTCGAACCAGAGTAGTCACGTTGATGCTGCTGTTTAGATCTGGAGAGAAAAAAAAATGAAAAAAATCGAAAATAATGAAAGGGATGGAGGGTGAGGCGAGGACAACGACGGTGAATGAAAGAGAGAGAGAGTGGGGTGAATTTATAATTTTTTTAATTGAGAAGAAGAAGAGAAATTGAATTTCGGCCGGCCGGCGGTGACGAGGACGCGAACAACGGTGGCATCTCCGAGGCGGACGGCTAGGTGTAGTGCGGTGAGCGGCTGTGATCGGTAGCCAGGGTGAGCGGACTACGACGGTGGTGCGGAGAAGGAGAAGGATGGCGGCGATGGCAGTTGATCTGCAGGGGAGAAAAAAAAAAGAAAAAGAGAGAGAGAGAGAGAGAGAGAGAGAGAGAGAGAGAGAGAGAGAGCAATTGAGAACGAGAGTGAGAGAGAAGAGAGAGAGAGAAAGAGGGAGAGATATACAAGAGTGAGAAATAAAATTATATCACGTTAAAAACCTAACACATGGGCACTTTAGTCTTATCATGTCTGGTGAGGGGGGTCTCACTAATTTAGATTGGGATTTGGGTTTTGAAAAAAGTCTTTAAAGTCAATTGGGTTTATATCAAAATATTTTTCAAATGAGGGGGGTATTGCATATTTCCCCATTAATTAAAGAGGGCCCAAAAAGCGCGTTTTTTCCTATGAACTATTTGGCCAAAATAGTTATAAGCGTGTTTGTTATTGCGGAATTTCTTCATAATAAATTAATAAATATTTAAAACATCATATTAAATAATAGATTGGTCAATGCGTAAGTTCGGGCATGCATTAAATTTTCATTACGTATCCGAAATGCACATGCGTTTTGATCCGTCGAAACCCTTTTGAGCTGTCACTCTCTTTTTTTTTATTTATTTTAGTTATTAATATTATTATTATTATTTTTTTCGGCAATGAAAAAATATGCATCAATCATATAAGATATGTTTATTTGGGCCGATTTAAAATAAGGTTTGGGTCCAACAATTATAATTAAGTAACTTCAGCCTAACGAATTTTTTTTTTTGAGTAAATTTAAGTCCATTACAAGGAGAAGTAGGGGAGGGGTGACTCGAACCCTAGACCTTTACCCTATTGGTAAATGCTAGGTACCAACTCTACTAAAGAGGGTTGGTCAGCCCAACCAACTTGATATACATAAAGATTACATTTCATTTGTTAAGGTATCCAATATCCGAACAATACTACTGCTCGTATTCGTTCTACGACTTTTGTAATCTACACGTCTGATTTGAGCGTTGTAGGGTTTTTCGTCAAATCAACCCCGATTTAGTTTACGTGTTCTCTAATTGCAAGTATCTCAAGGTCATCAATCTCGTGAGCAAGTGATCCACTTAATTTGCTCTTCCAGCCCATCCTATTTCAATTACATTAGGTGATTTATCTCTGGCATCATCAATGTGCAACGTAACCAACTATGTAGGCGCGCCGGGTTCTACATTCTCGTATAATAGCTTGGAAACCATACGAGAGACATAAATCACATTAAGTTAAGAATGTATGTGTGACGAGTTACGTCTAGCGATCATTGACAATGAGGGATTAATTCGTCAATTTACACATGCGCACATGCTCCAATCACTAGATCATCTATTGCGAGACTACTTATACCTATTATTTAAAGTTTGGAAGCGTTTTGAAACTTATTTTGATTTTCATTTTGAGGAAATATATTTTGGGGGAAGAATTTGAGAATGAAAGTAATATAATGTTTGTTTATATTTTGGAAGGAGAAAAAACACACTGTAGCAGTCACATCATGTTTAAAAGTGTAAGAAAAAAGTATTTTGAGAAGAAAAAAATTGAAAGATAAAGTGATATTTATTTGTTTTTTAGTGAAAACATTTTTTAGCGTAACAGTCAAATCATTTTACTATAGCAGTCACATCATATCTGAAAGAGAGAAAAACTTTTGAGATTTTTTAAGAAAATTATTTAAAAAGTGTAATAAATATAATTTTATTTTGAGGAATCAATGAAAACAAAATAAAAACAATACCAAACATTGCCAAAGATATCGAGGAAAACCTGACATTATAGACATTGCGCATGGGATTCTAATTCCTTTTATATGCTGAAATTTATTCCATGTTACCAAAGTTGATTGTTAAGAATTGATGTTCTCTTTCTCTTTTCTGATTTCTCTAACTATTTTTTTATTTTTGTTTTTTGTTTTTTTTTTTAATTATTTTTTATAACAAAAAAAAAATAGCATGAAATTGGATCATATGATATTCCAAAGAATTATATTAGGTCCAGTTAATAAATAACTTTTATTCAACCCAAATACATTCTTTGAATTGACCCAATATTGTTTCCTTCTATCGAGTCCAGCCCAGTTACTATTTAGGGTAAATTACAAAAACCCCCTAAACTTAGGCTAAATTACGAAAACTCCCCCATCTATCAGTAATTATCAAATCCCCCAATGTTTGTTTGCGTCTTACATTGACACCCTTACTATGTCAATTTTTACGGAATCTTTTTGATTCCATCGATTTTTTCTCGAAAATGTCAATTCTAACCTTGCAGACGTGACATTTCTTTATGCTATATTTTAAGATAAAAATTACCCTCAGAGGGGGTAATGGTAATACTAAAAAGTTATGAATGTGCTGTTCAAGAAAAATAAAGATTCCATGTAGCATAAAGAACTGCCACGTCTGCAGGGCTAGAATCGGCATTTTTTGAGTAATATTCCCTCGAATTAAAAAGATTTCGTGAAACATCACACCTTAAGGGAGTCAGTGTAAGACTAAAACAAACGTCGGGAGAAGTTTAGTAATCGCATCAATATGGGGATGTTTTCGTAATTAAACACAAAATTAAAACAATCATTTTCTTATTGAGAAAATTCCAAAATGGACCGGTCTTAATATCACTAGACCGGATTATTCACAGAAATACAAATTGGAGACCAAAAAAAAAAAAAAACAATAATAAAAGCACAAAACAACACTCCATTCCTCGGAGATTAATTAAAGGCCAAGAGAAAACGGAAAGCCAGTAGCCGACAACCAATTCCCGCCGCCGATAAAATTCCCCGCCGTAAAAGGCGTCGCCTGAGAAGCACTAGTCAGCACCCTGAACCCCCTCCACGTCACCCTGCTCCCCGTTCCAGCGCCGGCGCCGGTGTTCTGATACTCCGCATAGAACAGAGTGTTGAGCGCGAAATTCCCATCCCACATGAACCACCCCGCCGGATTAATAACGTTGCTTATCTCACTCTGCATAACGACGGTCCTCGAATATTCCTTCCACGGCCGTCCAAGGTACGTCGGAAAGCTGCTCTGGACGGGGCGGAGGTCGGAGGTGGCGCCGATTCTGCACTTCTGGATAACAATTCCGGTGTTCTGGTTGGGGTCGTCTCGGCCCTGGGCGGTGACCATGTTCCGCTGGCCGGAGTTGGGACGGCGGGCGTGGATGTCGCAGTTCTGGAGTACGGCGGCGGCGTTGCCGAAGATGAAGTCGACGGTTCCGGCGATGAGGCAGCCGGTGTAGAACTGGCGGAGGGAGTGGACGTATAGGGTGTCCTGATATGCAAGCATGTCGCAGCGGTAGAAGGCGCAGAGGTCGGCGTTGACCCGCAGCGCCACCGCCTGGTGCTTTGACGGTCCGGCGGTGTTCTGAAATGTTATGTCACGTGCAAGAAATCCGTCGCCGATAACCGCTGCATGCAAACGAAATTATTATACTAAATATTTGTTTTCTGATTTATTAACATTTAAAAAAAAAAATTGGGATTTACTTTTCACAATATGTTAATTCTGATTTCAATTAAAAATTTGCTCCAAATCGAAAATTAGATTTCATAAACCACAATGAAAAAATAAATCGATATTGGGATTGGAGAAACTTTATTTTTGTTTTATCCCTAATATATGATGCATAGTAAATATATAATAATTTTAATTTTATTGATATTATTTTAAGAAAGAAATCAGATTCGAAATCGAAACAATTGAAAATTCAAATTTGAAATCGAAACGAAAAAAGTTGTTCCCATCTATTGATTACCTATCCAATTAAATTATTGAATAAAATTAAAAAGAAAAAGAAAAAGAAATGTTTGTGGGGCCGGCGGCTTTTAGTCTAAAAAGTAAAAATAATGAAATGTTGGGGTCCGTAACGTCATTTCCCTACAATGATATTCTTAATCATACAAACGTCGTCGTTTTAAATCAATTAAACAAAACCAGAAAATTAGTTTTTTTTTTTTTATTTTGATAATTAAGACCAGAAAATTATATTAAATGTTGAAGTAATTTAAATGATTTGGACTAACCAACAGTGGCGGAATTGAAGGTGGTGCTGCCATCAACTACATTCCGGCTGCCGGTAATAATGGTGGTCGACCGTCCATCTCCGACGAACATTAAATTAGTCTTCCTTCTCGAAATCTCCACATTCTCTCTGTAAACCCCAGCTTTTATCCTAATCACATACCTCCTAGTACTTCTCTCCGGCGCCGCCGCCACCGCCGCAGCAATAGTTCTGAAATTCCCACTCCCGTCAGCCGCCACCGTCACATCAGGTGTCACAGTCGATGACTGAAGCAGCCTCCTATCTCCGGCCGACATCCATTCCGGCCACTCACCGGAACTCTCCTCCCCAAGCCTCCTCCCCTCCGCCGCCGGCGAAGAATTCAACTGGGCCATTTCAGTATCGGCCAGGTTCTTGATTATGGCGAGCACATTGCTCACGAGCTTGAACACGTGCTTCTGACCGGCGAGCAGAACTTTCCGGACAACCTTATCGGCGTTGTAGTGGGAGAATCCGTCCAGGCAGGATTCCTGGTTTGTCTGCGCCGCGCTCAAGAGGGACATGATTTTCTCCTTGTGGTCGGCGATGGTGTAGTTCTTGTATCCATAGTCCTTGAGCTCCATTTCCGTGTCCCGGAGCTCCTCCAGGGTGTCATCGATAACTTCCAGGCAGTCGTGGAGCGCGCCCTTCTCACGCGCCGTCAGCGACTTGCTCCGGGTGGACCCCACTTTCTTGACGGTGAAGTAGTTCCGCTCCACAGTGTAGATTGTGTAGTTGAGGGCGGTTATCAAAACGTCCCTGCTGCTCTTCATGCTGGCGGCCGGAGCCGCCTCCTGGATCGTCCAAATGCAGAGCTCCGGGTACAGCGTGACGGAGCAGGTTGACTTGACCACCGAGTAGTGGCTGACACTGTATTTAGCAACCCCGGCGCCGTGGATGGAGGCATGCTTGTGGGATTGTACGGCGGCGACAGAAACAACAGCGACAAGTAGCAGAGAAGATAATGCCGACAGGAGAATGAATTTGCGCCTGGATTTGGGCTTGTTTTCTGACTGCATATTTTCCATGGATGTGTCGGTGTGAAAAAAGAAAAGGCCTGAAAATGTTGTAGACACAATAAATAAATAAATTGTGTTATCTTTATGAATGATTAATTGCTTTTGCATGGTCAGGATATATAGGATTATCTACCTTCCACGTGAATTTTCTGTACCTGTTTTTGGAAATATCTTATTATTTTATTTTTTTCCCAATTTTTATTAAGAGTCGGACAAACGGTCACCGGGAGGAAATGTCAGATTACCAAAAATAATTCTACATATTCTTCAATTTGTACTCGTTTTATTCCATTCGAGCTCGATTTGTTCAAACGGGATGATCGTAAGATGTGTCTGTAAATATCAAATTTTGATGCATCAAAAACTGCATTTTTGCACAAAACGAAAACAAACTAGCGCCCATTCTACGGAATCTATAAGATTTTGTTCACTTAGACACCATAAAGATGGATGTGTAGAAAATTCATAGTTGAGAGGGCTGATTGTAATTACCAAATAGATTAGGGGTTTTTGTAATTTAAACTTACATCATGTGAGCGGTCGTCATTTTCAATTTTTATTAATAGTTTGGATTATTCATTTCCAATAAAACTTTTAATTAATTAATTAATTAATTTATTTTATTGCATCTTTTGGCAAAAAAAAAGGTGGGGTGGGGTGGGGTTGGGGGGTGGGGGTGTGAGGCATCAATCACTATTAGTCCAGCGCTCTTGTCGAGTTTTGAGGTCCCCTTCTTATCTAGTTATTGCATCTCACGCTGTACAAATGACATACTTTTCCACTTTCCAGATACACTATTTTGTTTATTTATATTCGAATATTCTCCAAAAATAAGAAAATTCATTGAATTTATATATGTGCATTATGCACCTACACATCATATGGACTAATGTTGATGGATTTCAGTTTGGTAAGATTGGACCAAACCTTTCATATTGGGCTTATTAAATTAGTATAAGAATAAAATGTATGGGTTCTAAAAGATTTATTGAGTTCACCGATCAAATACACGTGAAAGACAATGCCTGTGTAAAAGTTCATAGGAATAAAACGCGTTAGTGCCAAGCTCGTTAAAACGATGTTTCAAGGTTATGCAGTTAATAAGCTCACCAACCCATTAGAACATACTAAAGACGATCAATAGGATAAGTGGCGAGCTGAATGAGAACCGTTGAAAAAAGATACCCGAAGAAGTATTCCATGAATAGATGAAGCGAGTTTAATACAACTATGTACAAACTATATACACAGGTGTAAGTAGGGGTGAGATCGGCTCGGATCGGGTCGGTTTTAGCCTAAAACCGAACCTGGAACCGAAATGGTCGGTTCACGAAGAACCAAAAACCAAACCGGTCGGTTCATGTCGGTTCGGTTCTAGTCGGTTTTTCGGTTTTTTTTTTCGGTTTCGGTTTTTTTTCGGTTCCTAAATTTTTGGTTCGGTTTCTTAACGGTTCCGGTTTTCGGGTCGGTTTTCAGCCCTTTTTTTTCTCTAAACTAAATTTAAATAAGCCCAAAATATGCTAAAAATAATTCAGCCCATTTTGAACCAACAAAGCCCAAAAAGAAACGAGCTGGGGCGGGTTATTGGGCTGGGGCGGGTTATTGGGCTGGGGCACATTAAAATTCAGAGAAAAAAAAAAATCAGGAATATATATTAGGCCCTATCAAAACGACGTCGTTTCGGATCGGTTCGGTACATCGGCTCGGTTAACCACTTGAAAAACCGAGTGTGAACCGAAAATTTCGGTTCGGCGGAAATAAAAAACCGTATATGCGGTTCTTGCTTCGGGACGGCATATTTCGGGTCGGTTTTTCGGTTTTCGGTCCGGTTTTTCGGTTTTCGGATTTTTTTTCCTCACCCCTAGGTGTAAGGCGAGCGAGTTAAACACGATCACAGTGATTTAACTATTGATAACACACTCGTTTTCCAAATTATCTCTTTCTATCTTGTTTTTATCTTTCTCCGGTCGATTAGTTCGTCTTCGCTAGCTAAATACAAGCACCGGACATACTATCTGATGAATGAAGAATTGAAGTTGGATTTGGAAGAAGGTTTCTACGGTGCAAAATACTGCACCATCGAATAGTATTTTTATGTTTATTTTTTTGCCAATTAATTCTTGAAAAAGAGTGGTTGGCATCCCTATTACGACCAACGGACCAACCTAAATCTATTGAATATATCTGAATTCTGCAGTTAATTAATTGCCCCTCCCATTTATTATTTAATATTTCTCAGTTAATCATTAAATAAAAAAATAAAAAAATAAAAAAATAAAGAAATCCCCTTCTTTTTCTCGCTCTTCTGTTAAGCATGAAACCAACATTATAACTTACTATATTAGGAGTATTAACTAATGTTTAACAGACAAATGATGTCCTAATAATGGAGTTTGTTAGCAGCAAAGGATTAAATAATTTGGTCTAGCCGACACCGTTTTGGAATGTTGTTAATCATTAATATTGAGGCAACTACTGTCTAATCATTTTTCCACAAAGGACAATTTGATGAATTTGACTTGACGTGAAAAAATATAATATACTGATATTTATTTATTTGTTTATTTGTAGAAATAAAGTATACAAAATCTAACTACTACCATAGTATTTAGTTTTCAAATATTTTATGACTCTAGTAAAACATTTATTTAACAAATCAACAACTTGTGGGAATGGGATTTAATTACTTGCATTAAAAATAATTATAATAAAAATGGTAGGGGCCTTTGATATATGTTTATGGGACTGAGCTCATTGATTTTACAACAACTAAAATTTAATGTATTAAAGATAGATAATATTAGCATGGGCCTAAAAAAAAAAAAAAAAAAAACGGAATCGGCCAGTTTATTACAAGACCGGATTATTCAGATAAATGCAAATTGGAGAGGTTAAAAAAGTAAAAACAACACTCGATTGGAGTAGCTGCAATAATTAGTGGATTAATTAAAGGCCAAGAGTGAACGGAAAGCCCGTAGCTGCCAGCCAACTCCCGCCGGAAATAAATCTCCCCGCCGTAAAAGGCTGCGCCTCCGCATCACTCTTCAGCACCCTGAACCCCTTCCACGTAACCCTATTCGCTGTTCCAGCACCGGCGCCGGTGTTCTTATACTCCGCATAGAACAAAGTGTTTAGCGCGAAATTCCCATCCCACTCAAACCACCCCGCCGGATTGATGACGTTGCTTATCTGAGTCTGCATAACGACGGTCCTGGAATATTCCTTCCACGGCCGTCCGAGATACGTCGGAAAGCTGCTCTGGACGGGGACTAGATCGGCGGTTGCGCCGATTCTGCACTTCTGGATGACAATTCCGGTGTTCTGGTTGGGATCGTCTCTGCCTTGGGCGGTGACCATGTTCTTCTGGCCGGGGTTGGGGCGGCGGGCGTGGATGTCGCAGTTCTGCAGTACTGCGGCGGCGTTGCCGAATATGAAGTCTACGGTGCCGGCGACGTAGCACCCGGTGTAGAACTGGCGGAGGGAGTGGACGTATAATGTGTCCTGATAGGCAATCATGCCGCAACGGTGGAACGCGCTGAGATCGGCGTTCACGCGCAGCGCCACCGCCTGGTGTTTTGATGGCCCCGCCGAGTTTTGGAATGTTAGATCACGCGCCAGAAACCCGTCGCCCACAACCGCTGCAGCACGAAAACCAAATGAGTACAGTAAGTATACATATTAAACTTTATTTTCTTGAAGAATTATAGGTGCAAAAGTTAGCCTGTGAAAAAAGGACTAACCAACAGTGGCGGAATTGAAGGTGGTGCTGCCATCAACTACGTTCCGGCTGCCGGTAATAATGGTCGTCGCTTGTCCATCTCCGACGAACATTAAGTTAGTCTTACTCTTCGGAATTTCCACATTTTCTCTGTAAACTCCAGCTTTTATCCTAATCACATACCTCCTACTGCTTCTCTCCGGCGCCGCCGCCACCGCTGCAGAAACCGTACGATAATTCCCACTCCCATCAGCTGCCACCGTCACATCAGGTTTCACCGTCGATGCCTGAAGCAGCCTCCTATCACCGAACGACAACCAATCCGGCCATTCACCGTAACCCTCCTCTCCAAGCCTCCTTCCGGCCGCCGCGGGAGACGAATTCAATCGGGCCATTTCAGCATCCGCCAAGTTCTTGATTATAGCTAGCACATTACTCACGAGCTTGAAAACGTGTTTCTGACCGGCGAGCAGGACTTTCCGAACAACCTTATCCGCATTCTCATGGGAGAATCCGTCGAGACAAGATTCCTGATTGGTCTGCGCGGCGCTCAAGAGGGTCATCAGTCTTTCCTTGTGGTCGGCCAAAGTATAGTTCTTGAACCCGTAATCTTTCAGCTCCATCTCGCTGTAGCGCAGCTCATCCAGAGTGTCGTCTATAACTTCCAGGCAGTCGTGGAGCGCGCCCTTCTCACGCGCCGTCAGCGACCCCCTCCGTCGGGATCCAACTTTCTTCACGGTGAAGTAGTTCCGCTCCACCGTGTAGATGGTGTAGTTGAGCGCAGTTAGCAGAACATCTCTGCTGCTCTTCATACTGGCAGCCGGAACCGCCGCGGCCTTGATGGTGGAAATGCAGAGCTCCGGATACAACGTGACGGAGCAGGTGGACTTGACCACCGCGTCGTAACTGCTGCTGCGTTTGGCAGCAGCGCCATGGTTGTGGGATTGTACAACGGCGACTGATATAATAACAGCCACCACAAGAAATGAAGCTAATGCCGAGAGGAGGAAGAGCTTGCGGTTACTTTTCGAATGCAAGTTTTCCATAGATACTGAGATAACAGAGCTTGGTCTGAGCTCTGTCGCAGATTTATTACATGGTCTGTATGGATGGGGGGCATTATTGACAAATCATCTACCATGTGAAAACACCTGTGGCTCATTTTTTTTTCTGATGATTTTGGATAGAATCTTACTCAAACATTAGCAACATTTTTTTTTCTGATGATTTTGGATAGAATCTTACTCAAACATTAGCAACATCTATCAACCGTGCTACATATTCAGGTACACTACAACTTCTTTTTGCTACATTGTATTCGGGTAGGGTCTGGTAGAGTGGATACCCATTTATAAGGCAAATTAATTTTTTTTAAAGTAAAAAAAATATATTTGAAGATTTACAATTCCATTATTTTTATACAATGTTTTGCTATTTAATCGAGTTACTATTCATATTCAACCATCAAAAAATGCTTGAAGATATCTGAATTTCTCAATTAATTAAATACCAGAAACATTTATTATATTTCAGCTGTTCCTCAATAATGCTAGTTGCCGGCCGAATGAAATACTCCATCGGTTTCGAATTAAATGTATAAATTGTATAGATCTTAATATCTTGTGCATGCTAATGTATAAGGGCTGATGTTTTGTCCATCTAAATAATTAAAAAAATTGAAGCAACGGACTATAATATGAGCTAACACTAGATTATAGCGTTTAAAAGCGCGTAACTAAATTAAGTCTGCCATGGAAATGGAATCCCACTTACTAAACAATTAATGAGGTTAATTGGTGTTCCACCTCTTGCCAACTGTGCACCTTGGTAATGAGAGGATGCTGACTAATATACTCCGTCTTGCACCATGGATACGAATTCTCATAATCGAAAAGAAGAACCTTAATTCCATTTTCTGCACACTCAATTGCATATCTTGGATTATCATCAATGAGTACCTTTGCTCCCAATGATCTGATCAAAACAGGGAAATTGTTTAATCGGAAAACGGTAAAAGTAAAAAAGGAAAAATGGAGGTGGTTAGAGAATATGTATATACTTGCAAATTTCCGATTTTGGCCTGGATGGTTGTCCATCCAAAGCGAAGTGATTGCCAAAATGAATCTCTAGAAACAGGCCTGGATAGTGTTCCTCAACCCACTCAATTGTGTGGTCCTTAATTGCATTTTGTCGGGACCTGTGTGTAATTTTCAAATAAAGCTATGTTAACTTTGCGATTAACTAAAGAAAGTTAAATCAAAGTTTGGTGCAGGATACTTACGTAACTATGGACAAGTTGCAGAATTGGGATAACTTGTGAAGAGACTTTCGAGCACCTGGAATTGGATGAATCCCTTTCTTGAAATAATGCGTCTTGAAGAACTCGTGAACACGGGTATCAGCTGTCTCAAGGAAAAGGGGGACGATTTTATAAACTGCAATCGTAAAGTAATTAAGGAGATAAAGGAAAAGGGACGATTTTACACGAATAAAGCATATACCTTCACCACACGAGCAATTCCATACCTGCAAAAGCCGAATCGGTAAATGCATAAATTAAATGTAATTCCACTTCATAGAAAACATAAAGCACAAATAGAACAATTATTGTACTCTGGTTAATACATGCAACAAATGCAGTTTAACATATCCATTTGGGAACTTAGTTCACACAACAGGATGGTCTAC